CACGAGCTAGCACGGCTAGCTGTTGATGGGCTTACGGAACACGCCCGCTCCGTGTAATTTTAACTTTTAACAACGTATAACATTTGAAAAAAAAAAAAAAATTTAGATAAATTTTAAGGTCCCTGCCAGGCGTTTAAAACACCCGACAATTTTGGCCCAAAATCGAACTGGCGGGTCCCTAAAAAATATTTTTTTTTTTTTTTTTGCTCAAACTTATTTTTATACAAATAGTCAATTTATAAATCGATTCGCGAGTTCGATTTCAAAAATTGATAAAATATGAAACACCCTAATATATATATATATATATATATATATATTATATATATATATATATATATATATATATATATATATATATATATATATATATATATATATATATATATATATATATATATATATATATATATATATAACGCAATTGCATTCGTATGTTAACGTTGTTCAAGTTATCTTTATTATTTATTTAATTATAATTTTTTTTGGAAACTTTAAAGTTCTTTTTACTAAAGGAACCTTAAAATTAGTAAAAGAAGTTTAAATTTAACAATAAAAACGTAATAAGTTTTAATGCGCTTGGTAAAAATGTTGTGGGTTTTTAGTATAATAATCCACAACATTTAACCCAAATAAACGGGCAGGCACGTTTATTTGGCACCTCATAGTTATCGTTTGATGTGTTTTATAAATGTAACAACTCACATACTTGGTTACGTTTATTAGTTATTTAGGAATAGGGAAAGTTTTGATGATTTGCTTGCGATGGTCAAAACAATTGTTTTTATCTCCAGCCTGGAAACTTTCTTTCAAAGTTTTAATGTCACAGTTTTTTACTTACCCTCCACCTATGTTGTTGTGTCGCAATTAAAGTAGGAGAATAACTACCGCGAGGAAAACACTTTTGTGCTCAATCTTATATAAATACAAAAATTCTTTGTGTATGAGAACATAGTTATTATTTCTTGATTATAAAAAATGTCACGTAACAAAATTGCATCATCTTATATAGGGTAATTTTTTTGATAAATATAATAAACTAAGAAGCTTGAGAAAACTGGAAATTATAAATTTTTGAAAAGTATTTCAGCTAAAAAAATGCAAGCAATCAATTTAGTCTTAAAATTTTTAACTCTGAACATCAAGGTGACAGCAAAGTGTATTACTTTTCAATCGTTTAAAAGATCATTAACAAAAAATAAAACAAAAAAAGTCTTGTTGAAAGATTTGTGTAGTTGATCTTTAAGCGCTTTTGCTTGCAAACAGGAAACCTTTAAAATCAACAAACTGGCGAGAATGTTTGTTTGGTACCTTTAAAGATTAGGTTGTGGTTAAGGGCAGGGTGATAAAAATTTTTTAAGTAATCACAATTTAAAACAAAAACTGTTATCTTTATAGGTTTCAAAACATCGTTTTAATATTTTATAAACAAAATTATTAATATAGTCTTCATTGATCAATTAATTTAAATTGTTGGTGATCTAAATCAAAGTGTGATTTCACCCAATCAAATATGTTTTAGATGACATGAATTTGATCAGAATTACTTTCATTTACTGTTAAATGAGTATCATTGTTTTCATCGTCATTTTTATTTTCCTCAGAGGTCGCGTTGATTATGTTTTTAAACATGCATTTGTGACGTTTAACACTTGCTTTAGAAGCGTGATAAATTTTGCAGGATTTGCAAGTTCTTTGATCAATTTTTTGTTGTGAAATTGATGGGCAGTACAAATCAAAGGAAGCTTCCATCAAAATTTTTGAACTTATATATCCCAAGCGCTGCGCTAGAGAAGAAAAGCAAGGTTTAGGAATATTTTGTGCTACCTTTGGCTCAGGAATAAAAATTCCTTCAGCAGCATGAGACAACTGGACCTGGTAAAAAAACGTTGAGGAAAATATTTTTTCCAGCAACTTCGCCAAGATTTACAGCAATTCGGAACATCACACTTAACGATCATTAAAAAATATTGACTTTGTCTTACGTGATTTTCAATCCATTTTGAATCTTGCTATGGTATTGGTGAGAGTTGGGAAGGTTCAACATATTCAGCACAAACAGAATAGTTATCAATTACTATATCCGACCATACCTCAGCTAGAGTTTCTGCCGCTTTAGCAAAATTTTTTTTTTCTAAATCAACGTCAATTGATTTTCCAGATGCATTTAGATGTGTCCCAAAATGGTCATGTGGCAAAACCAATCCTGCTAACTCTCGACTCAGCGGAGCCATACGCCGTTCAACCCTGTTATATGCTGAATAATGAGGTGCATGAGTTCCTGTTAGATAGACATCCAAATCCCATTTTATAAATCTTGCAATTGCAACTTGCAATGGTTTGGGAAACTTTGGATTTTCATCAGGGCCTCCATCACATGCAACAACAAATATAGGTTTTACCTGACCTTCTGGAGTACAAATATGAAGCTTAAAATTTTCAATTGAAAAAAGACGCTTCAAATCACGGCCATGAGTAAAAGCAGTGCTGCTATCATGCTTCATAGATCTAATAGCAATATACGTTGGGCCAGAATATGACACTGCGTCAGCAAATTTGTTTGGATCAATAATACAAGCAGCATAAACAGACGGTATAAGCTTATGTCTGGAAGCGACTAAAAAATCATGATCTGGCAAACGTACTTGATAATCAAGATGCATCAAAATTGGTGATTGTTTTGTTGCAGCTGCTAATCCTAATGGTACTTTAGCTTTGTCGTCTAGACTTGAATAAAAGCATGAATCTGGACTAAATATTGAACAAACTTCATCCATGTATTGCATGCACGCAAATGTAAATCCAGCATCGATATGCCTATCACGAGCTGTATTAGCAGTCCTGATCAATTTCACAGGAACTGTCTTAATGTGACGTATTCTCTCAAGTGTATTTTATAACTTTGTCATCCCAAAATTTACATTAAAGTTAAACTCATACTCAATCCAACACCGCGGACCTTATTTGTGGAAAATTTTTCCCCAGATTGTTACTATTAAAAGAAATACACTTGAACAGTTCAAATCTGAATCAAAGCGTTTTTTATTATCTACGGACTTAAATTTTCTTTCTCTTTTTTAGTAAAAAAATAAACTAGCACAATTTATTTCTTTTATTTGTTTTAACTTTTACTTGTTCTAAATTTATTTTACTAAACGAATTTATATATAAACAGTTATATCAATTGTAAAACGTAGTTTTTCACACTTTTTATCACAAACAATTTATCACGATTTTATATATTTTGTTGTAAAAAACGACCTGTAATGAAGTCACTATGGGGCTCGGTGATAAGACAAACTGATGTCTTCTTCTTGCTCCAGCCATTTGTTTTATTATTTATGTTATTTTATAAATTGTAACTTTCTACGGCAAAAAATTAAATAAATAAATAAATATTTGATCGCTTAGGCATCAGTCTTAAATAAGTTGCAGATTGCGATAAATAATAACCCAGTTTTAGTAGACTTTTATTTAAGTCATCAAGTGTCTTACATGAACGTAACTCCTGCGATCTTCGTCGATCGCTAGCAGCGGCTCCTATTGTTGCAATGTTAACGATGGCATTAAGAAGATCTGGCTGATCTTCAATTACAGCTGGTCTACCATTTTTTTCTCTATTGAATTTAGAAAGTTTTGATTTTAAGTAGGGCGTGTAATCGACAATATCATTAAGTGTTCGTTTCAAACTTGCTCTGCGTTGTCTTTGACAGATTGCCTCGCGTTTCATTTTTTTAAGACGGTTTCGTTTTATTTTTATTTGCTTTTCTAAAAAAATCGATTTCAGCTGCTTTTTTAACTGCGAAATTTCAGTTTGAATTTTTTCTTGTTGTGGAGTATGAGATTTTGTCGGCTGATCAATTGGTACTTCCGTTTGTGATTTTTGACTTTTTTGAATATCAAATTTAGAAGAAGTAGCTAGTGTTTTATTGATTTCAAAATCTATTTTGTCTGCTTCATCGGATGTTAACAAAGCTTCTGGTCCCTCATCTGATATTTCGTTTGTGAGAGGAAGCTTCACTGCAATAGATTGATTATTTGATGTTTTAACATTAGACCAAAAAGACATCAACTGACTTTTACTTTCCATTGTTTTTCGTGTGAGTTCTTTTAAAACTGAATCATACGTCAATTCTTTATGCTTAACTTTATACCACAATTTATTAGCTTCTTTCTGTTGCTCCTGTTTACTTTTTTGTGACAAAGCTTTTGCTACTTTTTGGTAAATAATTTTGTACTTTTCACTATTATTCATTTTAATAATTCCGCCTTCAAACTAATTTTTAACTGACTATTTAAAGCACAACTTAAATTTACAAGCTACAATAAATGCAAACGGGGGTTGTTTGTTTAGTTTTTTAATAATTTATAGTATCTTATTTTTATTATAAAATATTTTTTACAAAATAAAGTTTAAAAAATTATAAAAAATACTATTTACATAACAATTTCAAAAATTAATATTTAAAGTTTAACAATACTTTAAAACTTTAGCTTTTAAACTTGTTACCCTTAGTAAGACTGTTGTCGCGCTAATTAATTAAAAATTGAAATATGAAGAAATTCCGAAATTCTTTTTATACTTCATATTGTTTTTGAAAAGTATTGAGCAATTGATTTAATGAAATGGAACGTTTTGAAATATAAAGAATATCACCACTTTTTGATGACTTCTTATTTTTACTCATGCCCGGCGTACTTTATTGACGGCCCCGTATATTTAAATTTCTTATATAATGTTTTTTTTTATAAATTTTATCTTTTTAATTCATAAAGAGAAAAGAGAAGATGGGGGGGGGGGGGGTACTTCAAAAGTGTACGTACTTTTCAAAGGGGGGAGAGGACTAAAAAGTACGCATGGCGACTGGGGGGAGGAGGGGGATCAATTTTTTGAAATTTTTGGCGTACGTACTTTATGGATGACCCCTTACGACGCTATTTATTTTAGTAGAACTTTAAATTTTTTGTGGGAGACAGGTATCCAGCAAAAAACACGCTCATTTCAACAAATATGTTTATTTACGATAGGAATGTAGTTTAAAATAAAAAAAAGTTTGACGCATTTTAATAATAATTTATAAAATTATGTTTTTGTTTCTCTATATTTCTCTGGAATCCACCTTCGTAAAACGGTTTCCTAACAACAACAAAAAAAGTTCTAATTTAATTATGTATATAGACACATTAAACCAGTTTAAAATAGTATAATAAAAATAAAAAAAATTGCAACTTTATAGAGGTTTTAGATTTGAAGAGGTTTTAGATTTGACCTTTAGATTTGAAGTGGCTTATGGTCAAAAAGATTAGTTAAAAATTACAAGCTTAAAAAACTTTCGAACGGGTCACTAATATTTTGGAAAAATTTTTTTTAAAGGTATTAATTGCAGTAGTGGTGTAGTGCTAAAAAACACTCGCTTCATAAGCGAGAGGTTCCGAGTTCGATCCCTGCCACGTTCCTGGTAGTACCGCGCTCAACTTGTTTCTCCGCGCAGCGGCCTTGTTCGTCAAGGTTCTCGTTTCGGAGTTATAGAGTTGAGAGAGGGTTATAACCACTATTAAGTAGCCTCCTCGGCCTTGAGGAGGTGAATAGCAAAAAAAAGACCTTGGAATGAAAACCTCAAATATCACAAACGATTTAAACTACTGATGTTTTTCAAAAGTACCTTTTTTTTGACAGTCAATTTGAAGGACATAATTTTTAAAGAAACATTACATGCGTCATTACATGGATGTGACATTACATGGATGTGACATTACATGTGTCATTACATGGACTTATATACAAGCATCCAAAAATTAACATAAACCCAATTTGCATAAAATTGGACATTTGACGTTCACATTCCAAGGTCTTCAATTTAGATTCAATCGCATAATAATAATAAAAATAAAGTACAATTTTAAAAGTTTTTAATATAAAAAACTTTTTTTTCAATATATATTTTTTACAAAACGATAATTGTTTTTGAAAGTTATATATTATTTCGCTTCTTTTGATAACAAGGGTGAACTACTTAAATTAAAAAGTAAAATTAATTGAAATTTTAAGAAATTATTTTTTTCATCAATTAACAACATTTAAACATTAGCCACTTAACTATTTGAATTTTTTTTTGTGAACTAGTTTAATTAAAGCATAGCGGGTTTTTTGAAATCCAGATACGAACCTATTTGGTTAGGGTATTTGGTTCCCGGTAATTTTTATATATAATTACTTTTAAAATGTTGATGTTGAGTACAATTATAGTCTTCACAAAGTTTTAAACTGATGCACTTTGAAGCATCAAATTATTTCAAAGCAATTTAGAAAAATAATTTTAAAATGATTTTCCAAAAATTTAAAAGCAATGCTCCTGTTTAGGAGCATTTCTTAATGTATTAACTAAATAAAACTGCTTAATGCAAAACTTTTAGCGTCATATGTGACGTCATTGTAACAATCAAAAGAGGCAGCACAAGTGTTATGCGAAAGCATTTAAAGATTAAGCATAAAATAGAATTCCCATTATTACATCCTACAAAAACAGTTTAAACTTCATCCCAAAAAGATGCCAGAAATATTGCACAAACAAAAGATACTATTACCAAATATTCTAACAGATCTCATTGCAGTTGATAAACTTTCATTTAACAGTTGCTAAAATTAAGAGACAACGAGAACTCGCTTTAGCCAAAGGACAAAAAATTCCTTGTAGTACAACTTTCATTAAAAATATTTTACTGGGTCATGCTAAAAACATTAGGGTTCAATTAACGGCTGAGTTAAAAGACATGAAAGCTAACAATATCAGATTTAACTTTTGACTTTCATATCAAATAACCTAAGAAAATTGTACAGAAGATACACTGATTTTAAAATCCAAGTAGAAAAAAATTTTGACAGGAAAACGCAGCTAGAAAAAGATATAGAAAGTGCTGAGCTAAAATAAGAATTAAATCATGAAGATATAAAAATCATGAAGATATAAAAATCGTGAAGTATAAAATCAATTTTCTGTCTAAAGATTTAATATAAGTATAAAGAATTTTCTGTCTTTGAATCAACAAAAAAACGTACTTTTAATTTGGAGACTTGTGTTTGTGTGTAATGTGTTTAAAAAATATCCAACCAATATCTGTTGAGAGCGAAGGAGCTTTTAGTGTATGCAGATTGTTTGTAATTAAACTTAGGAGCTTAAATGATAACACTATTGACACCTTATGCTTTTTAAAAAGTTACTACAAAAATATTAAAAGTGATAAAAAATCAAACTAAAATAGGAATGTTGATATGAAATGCTACAAAGAATTTATTTCCTAAAGTTAACTCTGTTTATGTATATTTAAAAGATTAATAAAAATTTATTGTGTAAAACAGTTTTTTTAATTTGTTTTTAAGTTAAAATTGAATCCGAATGCAAATCTTAAAAATCGATTTAAGATTTTAATTAATTTGCCAGATCCTTTAATCCCTAAGTCTAATATATATAGATACATACATAAAATGCAAAATGAAAACTGCGGTAATAACCTGAAACTGCTAACTAGTAAAACTTCATAGTTATATAAAATCATATATTTTACGAAATAAAATAACTGAACCTAATTCCAAAAAAAAAAAAAACCTAAAATTCCAAATTTTAAGGATTTTGATTTTCAACATAAAAACTTTTGATTTTTTATATTTACATCAAACTAAAATATGAGCTACGAATTCTTCAATATACCGACATTCCGATCAACTTAATAATTACGTCTCTTCCAATAAGTATTTTTTATACTTTTTTTTATTAATTTAATTTTCTGAAAAGTTTTTTTTTAATTAAAAAAGCGCCTGCACAATAGTGTAATAACAATAATCATTATTTTTCATAACAAAACCAAAACCCTTTACATTTGAGAAAGAATTGTATGTAGATGACAGTAGCAACATTAATTTAAAAAAAAATTCCCCACCTTTTTTTTTTTTTTTCACACATCGCGCAGTCTGGCTATCAGTTTTAATTCGACACTTTATTTTTTTGTTTTGATCCCACCTTTACTGCAACCCTCGGAATTAGGGTTGGCATACGGCAATGCCTACCTAACTGACGACCTTAAAGCGTTTGAGGTCGGAAAAAATCTCCAACCTCTTTTCCCTTTGTTTAAAATTCTTTTTGCTGACCTGATGCCGAATTCTAACAGTTTGAGGTCGGCAATAAATTGAAAACATCATTTTATTTAATTCTGAGGGTTGTATACCGTGTGAATTTGCTCCAGCGTGGGGCATATTCACTATATGTAGTTATTTTATTATTGTTTTTTTTTATTTTCTGTTTGAGGAGCAAATATATAATATATATTCTGAAATATTTTAGAACATTGTGAAATAATATTGAATATTTAGGACAAATCTTATTTTCAGTGCAAGATTGCAAGTCTTACAAAAGGAAGAAAAGTGCAAGACATTTAATAACTTATAAACCACAATAAAAGTCAAACATGTGTATAGGGAGAAAGAATCTACCCTTTTCTTTTAAACAGAAAAAGGATCCAAGAACTCCATCTGTCGAAAATCTAACCAATCTCAAACAGATCGCAACAAACTGTCAAACTCTTGGAAACTTGGAAACAGGACTGGATTGAACCAAAATTATAATTACAGATATAGAATTGCTCAAGAGAAAAATTCTGAAAAAACTCATAAAAATCAATAGTCTAGTTGATCTATATCGCAAAAACAAAAAGAGACAGTCTGATAAATTTACTGCAACACTTCTAATTATTTGATGCCACCAGCTTTAATGGAGAACGAAAAAGCACAGAAAATAATGAGCTTTACCAGACGCAAGTTAGGAATAGAGGAAAGATTGATTATTCAACGGTCAAACAAGCCCCTTAGGAATTAATCCATCCGACAAAAAGAATCCGAATTTTAAAAAACTTAACTTCAAGCAAGCTCACAGAAACACATTTTTTCCCACCCCAGTCGTCAATGTCTCTTATCACGTCATCTTCTCCTGATTGCAAACTGAGCAAGCACAACAACAGCAGGTTCATTAGTACTGAAAAATATATCTACACATAAAGCACATGGCATTTTTGCAACCATAAGTAAAAAGGGTCATGATGTACTGGTTCAAATCAGTCGGGTGTCTGGAAGTAAGTAATCTCTGAACAGGGTTGCCACTATAATTTTTAAAGTTTTTCCCTGAGTTTTCCCTGAGTAAAGAACATATTCCCTGAGTTGAACTCTTTAAGTTCCCTGAGTTTTCCCTGACTTTATTCCCTGACTATATTCTTTCCTGTTCATCAACAAGATTATTATTTTCCTTAATTAAACACAATCTTTATATTTGACAAACTAAAACTTTTACAACAACACCCACATCTTGCAAACTTATTATTATATATATTAGCAAAATATTTTTGAAAAAAAAATTGTTGTACAAAATTAAAAAAAAAAAATTCTTTTCCTTGAGTTTTCTCTGAATTTTATTAAAATTTTACAAAATCCCTGAATTTTCCGAGTTTTCCCTGGGATTCATGCTTTTTCCAGGTATTCCAGATTGAGTGGCAACCCTGCTGAAAGACAGAAAATGAAAACCAAAATTGTTTAAAAACATCATAGCAAAGATCCCAATTGTCTTCAGTTTAATGGTAAAAATGTGCAAGGGGAAGAGTATTAAGTAGTTCTGCTAAAAAATAGGACAACTGAAATCAAACTCAGTATTCTTAAATGTGAAAGTGGTTCTGTCGTAGCCATTTTAAAGAAAATACATCAGTCTGATGAATTGGGAAATGATTGGGAAAATATTTAGATACTTTGATAATTTTCGACATCACCTGATCTTACTGGTTTTTGAACGGAATTGTAAAGCTCATACAAGATGATGTCATGAGCAAGAGCTTTCAGAAGCTACAGTATATTGACTCTCAAAATTATGCGCTTGACCTCCTTCTGAAGCATGTCATGAATTTTCTTATTTAAGAGCTAACAAGCAAATTAGAACTCATCTTTTTCTTCATTGACAAATTAATAGAAAACTGTCTTTCTTCAAAATGACTACCATCTTGTTGCAACAGATCATGTTAACACAGGCAAGAACCCTGAATGGCAAGAGGATTTTAAGTTCTTATAAGAACTATGTCAGACATATCCTAATTACAAATTTGCCT